AGTGAGAACGGCTGGGTTCGAGAAGGACCCGCCCTCCCAAATCAACCCACGTCTCACCTCCTGGCACATATAAGGCCGATTCGTCCTTCAACTTCATATTGTTCAGACAACGGGAAAAATGCCTTCTCCGACTGAGGGAGACCCCCCTCAAAACTTTAAGGGTGATGGACTGTTAATCGCTTCAAGTATCTTCTGCTTCATCAACTTTTTTGTACTCGATGAAAAGCCTACTTGTAGGGGAAAAAGTTTTAAAATAAAGATACCCAACTGTTGCATATTGTCTTCCTAACTAAGTGTCGACAGTTTTTGAGTAAAAACCCCACCCCCTCCTTTGTCAGCGGTTGTAAAGACGATATCATCGTTTTTTGGCCAAGTTCCCGATGCTTGGATGTACTTCTGGAAGACCCCGGTCTTGAGGGCCAGTAGCTCAGAAATGGGGTATTCCTTGGACAAAGCCCTTTTGAAATCGGAGTCTCCAAAAGGTTTGGGTTTTTGGGTTTCATATCCACCAGTTATGTTTTTTGTTGAGCCAAATAGAAAAATTGAGCCCCGGGCTTTTTGTCCGGTGAGGTTTGTGTATAGGAAAATAAGTTATTTATATTTTGGTCGTCCCCCTTTTGCTCCATTTGCTGTGGGGACAGGGCTTGTGTTTTCGTTAGCTTCAAATTTTTGTTTGGGTGTTGGCATGGTAACTTGGCTGAGTATATATTCGCAGTTTTTGTCAGGAGTAGGAAGTGAAGCACGAATCTGGCGGCCGTAAGAGGCCTCTTCTGAATGTGCAGTTTATCAAGCTTTCTCTAAGGTAGGGGGTAAACAGCAGGAGAGAAAGGGTGTCAGATGTGGTCAGTTTCGAGAGTGACCGTGGTATCACCATCTCAGCAATACAGTCTTCTAGGAAGATTTGTGGGTTCCGAAAAAATTTTTAGCTTTGAGTAGGAGAAAAAGGTATTCTCTTTTCCAAACCATATGTGTTTTCAGTGTCAGGGCAAGAGGTATAGACCTTTGGAAAAAAAAACCGACAAGTTGGGTTTTGAAAGACACTTTTGCAAAAAAAACTAAACATATTTTTTAGAAAAAGGTTTTGGTCCCGGGACCTTGTTCTTATTTACTTCCTCCTGGGCATTTGCGTCACATCCCCCACTCTGGAGTTTTCCTGGGGAGAGTTTCCCGGGGGGCAACGCCCCCCCGGGGGCCCCGGGCCCCGTGACCGGCCTTCCCCGGTGGATAAGGGCCCCGAAAAAAACCCGGGTGTTGCTGCTCTGCACGCAAACCAACCCTAAAGAGCCCACCCGCCCGGGTGATCAGGAAAATGACTTTTTGTTAAAGGGCCATGCCATCCCTTTAAAAACTGGGCCCGGGGGCTGTTGGTAAACCCCCTTAGTATGGTGGGAGGCAGTTGAAAATTCCCCGGGCCCCTTCACTTTTTGTATGGTCCTCTTAACGTGCTAAGGGGAACCCCTGCTTTTCATTGGGGGGGGGTGGTGCCCCCTCGTCGCCAAAACTTTTTCTTTCATAGTGGTGGGTTTTTTTTGTTCAAGTTCGGTATAGTCCCTCTAGGTTTTCCCCGGTGTATATAAACATGTATCTTTTCCCTCCCCGCGTTCCAGGGAAAAACGGTTTAAAAACCTCAAGCGCTCCCAGTAATTGAGGTGTTTTACCCGTTATGGGGGCCGTGAAAGTTCTCTGTACTTTTTTCCTGGGTGGAAATTTCACCTGCCTGAAAGGTGCTGTTAGAGTGCAGCAATTTTTCCCGCCTAGATAAACAATGACCGAAATGTATCATGGGTTTGGGCCCTCCCATTTTAAAGGGTTCTCATTACCATCCTGCCCTTTTTTTCTAGCAGATGCGTTTGATACAATGTTATGGTCCTTGAAGGTGAGTCCCCACATAATCACTCTCCGCCTATAATATATGTCTTTCTACCTCTGATTTAGAAGTACGGGGCCCGGGACCGAAACTTTTCTAATAAATATGTTATAGTTTTTTGCTTACGGTCTTTCAAACCAACTTGTCGTATTTTTCCCAAAGGGTTTTTAACCCATTTTGACTGACACGCAACACACTATGGACATACTCCAGAAATATTTTTCCCCCCCTCCTATCAAAGCTAATAGTTTTGGGAACCGACACATCTTTCCCAAAGACTGTATTTTCTGAATGGTGATACCACGGGCCACTCCCGACAATGACCACCTAACACCCTTCCTCCTGCTGTTTACGCCTACCTTTGAGAAACTCTGAGAACTGCGACATGCTCAGAAAAAGGAGGCCCCCCATTTCGTGCCGCTCAGATTCGGCTTCACTTCCTACTCCTGACAAAGGGCTGCAATTTTATACCAGCCAAATTACCACTGCCAAAACCAACAAAATGAAGCTATCACGAAAACTACAAGACCTGTGCTCCACAGCAAATGGACGAAAAGGGACGACCAGAAATCATAAATAACTTTTCTCCATACACAAAAATCCCCGGGCAGAACCCAGGGGTCAAGTTTTCTCTGCATCAACAAAAACAAATCGGGGGAATGGTAACCAAGAACCAAACCTTTTTGGGGACTCCGGTTTCAAAAGGGGTTTGTCCAAGGAATTATCACTGCTCAGCTACTGAACCTTTAAGACCGGGCATTCCCAAAGAAACATCCAAACACTCAGGAAAATTGGCCAACAACGAGATATCGTCATTACAACCCCTGACAAAGGAGGTGGTGTGGTGTTACTCAACACTGTCGACTACTTAGTTAGGTAAGCACATATGCAACAGTTAGGTATCTTATTTTGAAACGTTTCCCTACACATAGCTTCTTCCGTCGGTACAGAAAAGTTGATAGAAGCAGAAGATACTTGAAGACGATTAATCATCCATCACCCTTAAAGTTTTGAGGTGGGCAGTCCCTCATCTGGAGAAGACATTGTTCCTTGTCTGAAACAATAATTTAGG